ACTTAGTTTCCCAATGGTTCCTCTTTAACTTCAATCTCACAGGTGCAAATTCCTTTTTCTAATTTATCCAGGTGTTTATTCCATTTGGAATTATTCTCTTTAAGAGAGGTGATAATGGGTTTCATTCTCAAGGTACCAGTTAAAGAAAGCCTCCCATTGTCTGTGGGAGATTTGGTATTTTCTTTGTGCCAATTGTGCTTGCAAATAAGCAAGTTTTGAAATTTCAAAAGAGCCCCCTCCAGGCCAGCAAACTTTAAGATCATTCTGGGTCCGAGTGATATTTGGCCAAAGACCCAGCCAGATACAACTTTCTGCGCCTATAGGTCCTATACATAAGGTTGGCTGGGGTACCAGAGGGTGGCTGGTTATTGAATGGGAGCTTAGAACATGGACTGCCCATTAACACCTAATGAAGATGACCCGTTATCCCTTCAAGTGTCCCTTAGCCTAACTGTCCCCACAGAAGTTTATGGATGAGGTCCCAACAGCCCTATGGACGAGTCCAAATTGAACCCTACTGGCGCGGAGGCATTGATTCTGAGAAGGCATTGGGAGTAGAGTCTGGGTGCTGCTTCAGATCCCACTGCTGCCATCAAAATGGAAACAAATCCAAATGGGATTGGAATGAAAAAAGGAAAAACTTGCCCTTGCTGGTGTTGCTCAGTGGTTAGAAGGGTCCCAGGTTCGATTTCTGGTCAAGGGCACGTACCTGGGTTATGAGTTTGCTCCCTGCCCCTGGTCGAGGTGTGTGCAGAAGGCAACAGTCAATGTGTGTGTGTCTCTCTCTTCCCATCCATCCCTCCCATCCACTCTCTCTGAAAAGCAATGGAAAAAATATCCTCAGGTGAGGATTAACAAAACAAAACAAAAAAGGAGGAACTTTATTCAGGAAAATAGTTTGCAAACTGGGGAGACACAGCCTCTGGTAAACAAGTGAAAATGTACTTCACTTGAGACAAAGGGGAAGATGATTTTGTTTTTACAAAAACCACTCAGACTGTGTCTTCTCCCTCTTACTCTCCCAAAGGGCGGGTTTCACACTCAGGAGAGGACACTGTGCTTCCTCCTCGTGGTTTTGGGTGTTCTATACATTCAGAGGCATTCTCCGGTAACAAACTATAGAAATGATCCCTGAAAGTATAGTCTTGGGGGGAGGGCTGTGCTTTATACCAAAGTTCCCACCCAGGTTCCTAATTAGGTCCATTTTATGTAAATGAGATATCCAATTCACACGGTTCTGATTGGTCTGAATCACACAATTCTGATTGGTTGGGGCAGGTCTCAGTCCATTGGTTGAAAGGTGAAAGCAGAATATCCTTTATCATAGTTGACTCAAGCCCTGACAGGTGTGGCTCAGTTGGGTGGAGCATCGTTATAAGCACTGAAGGGTCAGGGGTTTGATTCCTGGTCAGGGTACTTATACCCAAGTTGCAGTTTGATCCCTAGTCGGAGCACATGTAGGAGGCAACCTATTGAAGTTTCTCTCACCTCAATATTTCTCTCTCCCCTTCTCCCTTCCTCTCTCTCTAAAATCAATAAAAAAGCATATCCTAGGGTAAGGATTAAAAAATAATAATAGCCCTAGCTGGTTTGGCTCAGTGGATAGAGCATCTGTCTACAGACTGAAGGGTCCTGGGTTTGATTCCGGTCAGGGGCACATGCCTGGGTTTCAGGCTCCATCCCCAGTGGGGGGCATGCAGGAGGCAGCTCATCAATGATTCTTTCTCATCATTGATGTTTCTATCTCTCTCTCCCTCTCCCTTCCTCTCTGAAATCAATAACAATATATCCTTAAAAAATATTTTAAAAAATAATAATAGTTGACTCTGATGACATAAACAAGGAGGGCATAGTGCCAGGAAACCCAAGTTCACCCAGATATTCTTCTTGGTATACAGAGTGTGTGAGAAGCCCCTCCCAGTAGATGGCTGCTAGACTCTCTCTATTTGTAAAATTTAAGTCGTTGGTTGAACCTGGGGAGTCCACCTTAGCAAATAAATTCATTCACAACAAATAAATTTCTTCCTGGGGTCCACATAACTTATCTATACTAATAAAAGGGTAATATGCTAATTAGACTGGACATCTTCCCAACAAAGCCACAGTGGTGGGGGCTGAGGCAGAGGCAGTTAGGGGCAATCAGGCTGGCAGGGAGAGGCGGTTAGGGGTGATCAGGCCGGCAGGGGAGGGCAGTTAGGGGTGATCAGGCTGGCAGGGAGAGGCAGTTAGGGGAGATCAGGCTGGCAGGGAGAGGCAGTTAGGGGTGATCAGGCTGGCAGGGGAACAGTTAGGGGCATCAGGCTGGCAGACAGAGGCGGTTAGGGGTGACCAGGCAGGCAGGCAGATGAATGGTTAGGAGCCAGCGGTCCCGGATTGCGAGAGGGATGTCCAACTCTCGGTTTGCAGGGATCGGGCCTAAACCGGCAGTGGGACATCCCCCAAGGGTTCCAGATTGGAGATGATGCAGGCCCGGCTGAGGGATTCCTCCCCTTCCATGCACGAATTTCGTGTACTGGGCCTCCAGTACTTCAGTAGAGCTATTTTAAAAATTTGTATAAATTCATATGGAAATATGGTCACACAAAGTGAAAAAAGCCTGATGTACAACAATGTGTATAAAAATAGATGCCTGAAGAGATTATTTCTCTAAGGACAAACAATAACAGTAAATAACAGGTTGTTCATAAGGAGGTAGCCTGGGAGATCTGGTATGGGAGGGAATTTTTCTTTGTACCCAAAGTATAGCATGATAAGCTTACTAGTAAACACACACACATATACATATATGACTTTTTTTCAATTGACAAACTTAGAAATGAAAATACATATGCTCAGGCATACTTAGCAAAAAAGAACTAAGAGGCTGTAATGTAGCAAGAAATTATCAGTGATTTACCTTTTGTTCTCTTTACTTTTGCAGATTCAGTTTTGCTACAATAAGTATGCATTGCTTTTTGTTTTACAAGTTTGAAAAATAACATTGAGATAATGACTCTCATCTTGCCTATTCATGGGGTGTCTGAAAATGTAAGCAAGACCTCAACGTTAGGGAGAGGGCCCCAGGCACAGCTCCTCACCACAGGCTTTTCCTGCACCACTAGGAAAGAGTAAGAAACCTCCATTCAGTATTGTGGAGACTCAGAGTGTATCTTTATTTGGGTGTGGGGGGGGTGTGTGTGGGGGGGGGCTCAGGTTTGGGATCTACTGTATTTTATTGAATATGAGCTCCTGTAAAATGTTAACCTCCCCATTATTTTATGTTCCACTAAGAAAGAAAGAAAAAAAACTTGTCAAATAAACCAGGTCACACCTTAGATTATACAATGCATTTGGTCTCTGAGATGTTAAGTCTGAAAAACGTTTATCTTGAAATCAACAACTCAGTATTGTCTCTGCACATCTCTTCCTTAGGTGGGTAGATCATCTAAGCAACACCATTCACCTGATACCTTCCTGTCCCTAAAACCTCCTTCTTCCCCGCTCTGCCCAACCAGTCACCAAGTCCTGTCTTTTCCACCCCTGCTGCCGCCTGCCTCCTCATCTCTCACCTGGACCACAGCGCTAGCCTCCCACCCAGCCTGCTCATCTTACTCTCCTATCCATTATTCATACTGCAGCCAGCGTGATCATCTCACGTCCTTGCTTAAACGTTCCCACTGGCTGCTTTACCCGCAGGGCGAGGTCTGTTTAACTTGGCATTTGACTTTTCATGACCGGGCTTCTGCTTGCCATTTTAAGGCTCTTGGCACTTCCTCCAAATGAAATTGCTTGCTGCTTCCTCAAAGCACCCTGTGTTTTTTTCAGGCCGCCAGGCCTCTGCACCAGCTGTTTCCTACGCTCGCTCGGGCTACTCTTCCTCAACAAGTACTGACTGAACATGTAGTAAGCGCCGGGAGCTGCGAATGGCGGGGCAAGCAAGGCAGGGCGAGCCCAGTCCTCACAGAGGCTGGTGGAAGGGACAAAACTGGAAACCTATAATCATTAAATTATAAGCACACATGGTGGGCATTTGTAAAGGCTGGTTGCAAATGTCAACCATGGCCTCAGAAAGTTTAGAATTCCAGTAGGGTCAGGGAGACAGTGTGAAGCCGATTAGAACCCCGGATCTACCAGGGACTACCTATCGTAACTTGGGGGACCTGGCCCTCGGAGTCCCCACCTCTGTGAAATGGAACAGTGCCCGCCCCACAGGATTTCAGGGAGGATTTTATCCGCCATCCAGATAATCACGCGGTTGTGCCGGACCGAGGGCCCCTCCCCCGCGGCGGCGCCGGCCCCCACCCCAGGAGCACCGCAGCCCAGAGCGTGCAGCGAGCGCCCAGGCTTCCGCCTCCGACGGTGGGACCGCGCGCACAGACCACAGGCCGCAGAGCGGGCGGACCCGGGGCGTCCGACGCCGGGTGAGGGGGGGCAGGCAGCGCTCCGCCCCATCTCCCCACTTTGGGGGCCAGCCCCCTCCGCCCCCGCCCCCGCCCTTGAATCCTGGGGGTGGGGAGGCGGGGCCGTGACCCATTCATGCCGGGAATCGGATCCAGATGTTCCCGTGGCGCGTGCAGCTGCATCCTTGCCTTTTTTGGCAAAAAACGTGCGGCCGCGAGCGGATCCCGGGCCGCCTCCGCTAATCCTCGGGAAGAGGGGGGAAGGGGACTGAGGGTCTGGGCCCAGACTGGGGACCCGCGCCGGGGGGCTCTGTGGGACTTGGAAAGGACTTCTAAGGGAGGGGGACAATTTGTACTAGGCGGGGAGCCCCACCTGTACCCCCGCGCTCCGGTAAACCCCTCCCTTCTCCGGGGAGGAACAAGCCCTTAGCCAGCAGGCTAAGCCCTAGAGGGACGGTAGCAGCGGCGGCGGCGGGGATCCCCTTTCTCCGGAGATTTCCCACCCCGTGGCCCGCAGCTCCCCCCTCTGCCCTGCACTGAGGTCTGGAATAGCCCGAGTCTCCTGGTCTGCATAGCAACCCTCTTTCCCCTCCATCCCCAGACAAACACACAGGGCCTGTGCTACCTCACACTGCTTTATTGCAGAATCTCTAAGGGGGTGAACCAGTCCCACCCCTCTGCCCATCTCTGGGCGAAATGGAGCTGAAATGAGAAAACACTCAACGATTGCGGGCTGGGCAAAACCCTGTACCCTAGGACCTCCTCACCAGTGAACCCTGATCTGCTGCCCCAACAGCCCCAGCCCCTGGGACAGGAGTGGGATGGGGGTGGGGAGGGCCAAGCCTGAGTACAGGACTTCGCAGGCACCCAGAGACCTAAAGTCTGCCGAGAAGCCTAGATTGAAGGCCTGGGTCCGAGTCCAGGTTTGGAGGGGTGGGATCTAGAGGCCGGATTTGGGGAGAGGAATTGGTCTGGGAACCACAACTCTAGGGGATAGGGCTGAGTTCTAGAGTTCAGGCTTGGGAGGAGATATGAATGGTAGAGGGCCCGAAAGAGCCCAGGTTTGGGGACCCTGGGCCAGGGAGTACCAGTTTGTGGATGTTGGAGTGGGGAGGCTGAATCCTGGAGCCCAGGGGGAGCCCCAGTCTGGGGAGAGGGTGGGTCCCAGAGGTGGTTTGGAAAAGGAGCCTTAGTCCTCAGGGCCCTGGTTTGGGAGGGCCTGGGCCCAGGAGCCCTGGCTCAGGGCCCTGCCTGGCTGCAGCCCTGGCACAGCACTTTGTCTCCGTCGGGCACGAAGCCTTGGCCCACCAGGGAGGTGGAGCAGCGGGCGCAGGCGAAGCAGCTGTGGTGCCAGTGGCGGTCTTCAAAGGACACGTACTTGCCCCCACCGAGTCCTGGAGGGAGGCTGGAAGTTAGCTCTGCTGACCGAGAGGGTGGTCCTGGCCCTCGGTCTCATCCAATCCCAGACCCCATCCCCTCGCCTGCACCCCGCCCGCTCAGTGATTTGACCCTTCTCCCACCTGTGATGGGGCGCTTGCAGCTGCTGCACTTGGGTGCAAAGAGTTCTCCAAAACAGGCCACACAGTAGGGGTCATCATCCCGGGAGGTGAACTGCTGCCCTGCCAGGGGTGTCTGGCACCCAGTGCAGACCAGGCATTCTCGATGCCAAGGCTGGTCACGGTACGTCACGCCACCCTGTGTCAGCGTCTGTGGGGGCAGCATCTGTCAGCAGGGGGGAGTGGGGATGCCCACGCCATCACAGAGCCTTGCTCACCCCCACCCATCATACAGTGGAGACCAGGGCCCCACCCTGCTGGCCCAGCCCCCACCTTGCTGCAGCGGGCACAGCGAGGAGCAAACTTGTTCTCATAGCAGGGCACGCAGTAGTGAGCACCCTTGTCGGGCACGAAGGAACGGGAGCCCAGTGGCTGCTCACAGCCGCTGCACAGGAAGCAGTGCTCGTGCCACGTCTGGCCTCCATACTCCAGCTTCCGGGATCCTGTGGGGAACAGGGGTCCCGCTCAGAAGCTGTGTGCCAAGCTCCTGAGTGGCACCCTCTGCTTTGGCCCTGTTCCCCAGGAGAATCCCCACTGTTTCCATAGCTCAGGCAGGGTGGTGTCCATGCACATGCAGCAGGACCCCCACCACACATATTGTACATGCTAACCTCCCCCAAACACTGGACATGTTGGCCATGCACATGCTAGGCCCCCATAAACTAGACATGACGGTTTGGCATATGTGAAGTCCTCATATGGAACAGATATGACTGTCTCATGTCACAGGCATGATGACTCAGTAGATGCTAGGCCAGCGGTTCTCAATCTGTGGGTCGCGACCCCTTTGGCGGTCGAACGACCCTTTCACAGGGGTCGCCGAAGACCATCCTGCATATCAGATATTTACATTACGATTCATAACAGTAGCAACATTACAGTTATGAAGTAGCAACAAAAATAACTTTATGGTTGGGTCACAACACGAGGAGCTGTATTTAAAGGGCCAGAAGGTTGAGAACCACTGTGCTAGGCCCTTACACACCAGATTTAATGGTTTTAGCGCACCCACAGAAACCCCACTTATACTAGCCAAGCAAGTTCTAATGTTCTGAACACGGTAGGTTCAGTACACGCTAAGCCCCTGCATATCCCAATCATGCCATTCTCCACAGATTCTAAATCCTTACGCATATTAGGCATGCACTCAGCACACATGTTAAGCCCTGTTTATCTGTCTCTGCACACACCAAGACCCATTGTACCAAGCATGACAGTCTCAGCATGCTTTTAGCTCCTACATGCACCAAACATGCAGCTCTTTTGACATGTTAAGCCCCACCGTGTGTCAGTTTGTCCATACGTGGTAAGCCCACAGGTGTGTACCAGGCCCACCGGTCCAGCGCATATTAAACCCTCAGGAATGTACTGGGCTTGTCAGTTCCTGTACATGCTAAGCTTTCAAGTGTATACCTGTGCATGCCAGTCCCTATGCATGCTAAGTTCCCAAGATCATATAAGCACGACAGATCCTGCATACACTAAGCTTCTAAGAACATGCTGCCTGTGCAGGTCTTTACAGTACAAACCTCCATGTACGTATCAGATAGGCGTGCCAGTCCCTTGCACATGCATGAACCCTACACAGATGCCAGGCATGCCGGTCCCACGCGCAGTGAGCCCCCGGGGACGTACCCGGCATGACGGTCTCCCCACAGGCAGAGCACTGTGAGGAGAAGGCACTGCAGTAGCAGTCATTGCAGAGCAGCTCACTGTCCTGGCAGGTGAAGGGCTCATCGGCTAGGGAGCGCTGGCAGCGGCAGCAGCGGAAGCAGCCCTCGTGGAAGTGACGGTCTTCGTAGAATAGCTCCTGCCGGAAGTGTGGCAGGGACACTGGCACCTTTATCCCCCTCCCTCCAGCCTCCACCCACTCCCTGCCCTGCCTGGTCTGGTCCTTACCCTCGAGTCATGCCCGATCAGCTGCTGGCACTCGGCACAGGTGTTGGCGAAGGTGTTGTCGTAGCAGGGTACGCAGTAGGGCCCGTTGTCTGTCTGGATGTATTTCCGGCCATACAGGGACTCACTGCATTTTGCACAGTCGAAGGCCTCACTCATGGTGGCTGTGAGTGAGCCCTGTTAGGGACACAAGGTGCAACAGGGTCACCAAGAAGGGCTGTGGCTTAACTCCTTGCAGGAGCCTTGGCATTAAATAAAGAGCAAGAGGCCAGGCAGAGAAAATGCCAGGTCAGCCCAGCCAGTGTGGCTCAGGGGTTGAGTGTCGACCTATGAACCAGGAGGTCACGGTTCGATTCCTGGTCAGGGCACATGCCCGGATTGTGGGCTCGATTTCCAGTGTGGGGCGTGCAGGAGGCAGCCGATCAATGATTCTCTCTCATCATTGATGTTTCTCTCTCTCTCTCTCTCTCTCTCTCTCTCTTCCTCTCTGAATTTAACAAAAAAATATATATTTTTTAAAAGAACGAAAATGCCAGGTCAGAGTAGGTGGTAATGGGGAAAGGGTGCTTCTGGGAGCCCAGGAGTCCTGCATGTTTGTTTCTGTATTTAACGGTGGGGGTGGAAGGGGGTCAGGAAAAAATCAGGAAGCAGAAGTTGTTTTCTTATCTGGGCCCTGGCAGATCTGGGGTGAGGGGGCTTTTCCTGGGTCAGTGACTCATTTCCTGCCCCAGCCTGAGTTGAGCCTCCACTGTCCCTACTGTCCCCAAGGGGGCAAGAGCAGGGGCAGAGAGCCACCCCATCCTATCCCATATGAACAGCACTCCCACCCCCTCCTGACTCCTAGGAAGGGAGCCTTGGGATGCAGATAAAGGAGCCCCTGCCCAGAGGTCTGGAGTGGGGCGCTTAGGGATGGGAATGGGCTGTTCCTGCCTGTCCCCATTCAGGAAACAGTGGGATGTGAGAGGTATGCTGAGCGGATGAATGGTGGAGGTGGAGGAGGCGATGTCATTGAGCCTCACCTCCCAGGAGAGTCAGCCCAGCAATAAGGACTTCAGAGGCTCAGCCTAGGTCTAAGCAGGAAGGAAATCCTGCAAGCTGGACCCAGGCAAACTTCCCCAGCTGGACTCTCTGCTTTCACCCCCTGCTGGGTCTCTGGTCACACCAGCCTGGGCAGCCGTGGCCTGCAACATCTGCAGCAGCTGTGGCAGCCCAGATGGCCAGATGTCAGGTTTTACCAGCAACAGGGGAAGAGAAAAGGGAAATGAGATGCCTGGGGAGAGAGAGGGGAACTGGAGGCAGATTATGCAGCGTGCCTCCCTGCCATCTCCTGCTGGGGGGCATCATGCTTGGCAGCATCTGGCAAAACCCAGGAATCTTTCCATCCCCTGGGTCATGATTTCCCTCCTCCCGCCTCTGGGAGAGACAGCCTCTCCCCAGCTTTTCTGATTTCTCAGGTTTTGGGGCGGGGGAATGAAGGGTGAGAGAGGGAACCACTGAAGACATTTTCTCCCCAATCAGACCCCCTCTCGGATGGGGAGTCAGGCAAGGGGGAGCCCTGAGAGCTGTTGCTGCAGACACCCACTCCCCCCACCAAACCTCAGACACTTTCCATTTTCTCAGGAACAAAGCATGTTTGTGGGATGAGGTCATCCACACAGCTGCCTCTGGAACAGGAGCATGGGGAGTGGGGGTGGTGGTGGGGAAATGGGGTTCCTGGTCCCTTCTGTTGCCCCTGACACCAGTCTCTAGCCCCAGATTCAGAGCTTCCCACCTCCATCATGAAGCCTGCTCTCTGAGGACAGGGATCCCGGGGTGGGTGGAGAGGAACCCCCAGGACCCATAGGAAGGGCATGTTCTCACAGCACAGATGAGCCTGGGGAGTACAAAGGAACCCACCAACCTACTCCCTCCGCATTAGACCTCAGGAACTGGCAGTCCCCAGAGCCTACCCTGGCTTAAGTTGAAGGGAAAGCCCTCCTTCTCTCAGCCACCCACAGTGGGAAATTCTCGCCAACAAGCGTTGCTCTGCCTTGGAGTTCAGACTCCAGGCGCCAACAGACGTCCCAAGCCTGTAGGATCTGGCTCTTCTGAAGGGATGGCTCGTGAGCTCATAGCTGTCCTTCTGTACAGTGCGAGGACACTCACTTCATACCCCGGCCAGGGCATGAGGCCACCAGAAGCTGGGGTCTTCAGAGCAGGGACTTCTGGGGTAGGGACTATGCTGTAGGGTGGAGGATAACACCCCCCACCCCCTGTCACCTCCCTCCCCACCACTCAGGCCTGGGTTTCCTCTGGCCCGGCATCTGAGGATTGCCTGGGCTGTCAGCCACGGGCCGCAGGGGGCACACAGGTGGAGTGTGGCCATGCCTCTGTCCAGGAGTGCCTGGGGCCTTTTCCTTCCTTCCTGGCTTGGCCCTAAGCAGCTGCCACCTTCCCAGGCCCATGCTAGCCTTGGGCCCACCCCCTGAGAGGCAGTTACCACTCTGAGACAGGGACACCCCAAATAGGGTATGGGCATGACTTCTGTTTCCTTCCCAGAATCCCCTAGTCTGTCCAGCTGGGCTCTAGTGAGGACAGAGTGAAGGGCACTATCAAGACCCACCTGTCTCTGCCCATTTCCCTCCCCCCGCCCGTTCCCTGGCAGGACTAGGGGACTGAGGGAGCCAGTCTTGTGTTCCTTCATGGTGGGGAGGGCTGTGCAGGGGAGACTGCGCAGTTGGCCAGATGGCGCTCAGCCCCTACCCCCACCAGCACACACTCCTCCCCACCTGACCTACACACACATCTGGCACCTCTCAGAGCTCAGAATAGCTGGATAAATGGCTGTGGCGTTTGGTGTGTAGAGGCCTGAGCTGTGAAATATAAAGCTGGGCGATCTTGGGCAAGTCACTCGAGCTCTCTAAGCCTGTTTTCCCATCTAATACTACCTCCTACCTCCTGGGTTTTTTGTCGGGATAAAATGGGATGAGATGCCCTAGCTGGTTTGGCTCAGTGGATAGAGCGTTGGCCTGGGGGCTGAAGGGTCCCGGGTTCGATTCCGGTCAAGGGCACATGCCTGGGTTTCGGGCTCAATACCCAGTGTGGGGCGTGCAGGAGGCAGCCGATCAATGATTCTCCCTCATCATTGATGTTTCTATCTCTCTCTCTCCCTCTCCCTTCCTCTCTGAAATCAATAAAGATATATTAAAAAAAAAAGACTTAAAAAAAATAAAATGGGATGATACTTGGAAAGCACCTTGAGTTAGTTAGCTTTCAGTAAATGGAGGATATTCGTGTTTTTATGATTAACCCCTCCCTCATATGGGGGTCAGACAATAGTTTCTCAGCCAGGCCTGGATCAGGGAGCTGGCCTGGGATTTGACCTGGACATTCCTAGTGTAGGCCCAGGGAGAGAACAAAGAGGGAATCCCTATGTCCACTTGGGGCACCAAAGAAGCCCAGGCTATGGGGTCGGCCTGACTCCAGCAAGCATAACTCTGAGACCCCCTCACACGGGCACACCGGTGCACACCCCTGGATGCTGCTCTCCTCTCACAAAGTGCATTCCCACCCACCCACCCACCCACCGTCTCATCAGATCTCACAAAAGGCAGGCAGGAGGGTAGTGTGGTCATCCCCAATTTACAGCTGAGCACAGAGGCCAGGGCCAGGGCAGGGGCATACTCAAGGTCATTCGGGTCTCAGAGAGCCCAGGAGCCCTCTGCTGTTTCTCTTTCCCTAGACATGCTGCAGTGGTGGTGGAATGGGGGGAAGACACTTAAGGGCAGGGGGACATGAGATGCTGGGTGACATCAGCAGCACAGGAGCCCGGCTCTTCTCTCCAGCTGCCAGCCCTGCCACTGGAAGACACCCAGGAGCCTTTCCAATTACCCATGCCAACCGCTCAACCCTTTTGCCCTCCTCCAGCCCCCACTGTCCATATCCCTGGCCAGGCCCCACAGCTGTGAGCCAGGATCAGAACAGACCCCTCCTCTAGCTCCCTGGAGTTGACAGGAGACTAAAAGGGTGAAACTGAACTCTCCCCACCCCTACCTCCACCCCTGCTAGCAGGCACCTACCCCAACCCTCCACCCTCCCCTCCCTGTCCTGGGGCCTGGGAGTCAGAGCAGTTTAGGGGAAAGGGAGGGGTGGGTGGTGGGAAGCAGGATCCAGCAGCTGCTCTGGGGACAAGAGAGGAACAGTTCATTCACCCCGCGTCCCCCAGGGCTGAAGCAGCCCGTCCAAGATCCGAGTTTAAAAATAAGTTGAAACTGTCTTTGTATATGCCTGGGGCTCTTTCTTGATCTTAATCTTACTGTCTCAGGCCCTCTCCTCATGGGGACTAAGTTGGCCCCGAGTTTATGTTTCCCCTCATTCTTGCTTCCCAACCTTGCGGGCCTGAGTCTCTCTTGCTCTGTCCGGGAGGCGGCCAGTGCGCCTCCATTAAATCTCAGTCTCCTGCGTGTAGCTGTCCCCCAGCCCGTGCCTGTGTGTCTGCACACTTCACAGCTGTCCTATGTAGTGGGTGTCTCTGTATCTCTGGCCATCTCCCAGCAGCTCGCCTCTGTGAATTTCTACCTCTGAACACCCACGTCTGCTCTCTCAGTGTCTCCACTGGGAAGAATGTCTTGGTCCCCACCCCATCCCAGCTCTCCAGCTCTCAGCATCTCTGCATGCCCGAGTGTCTCTGTCGTCTCTGAAGGTCTCTACAGGCCTCCCAGAGGCGGATTCACTGCCAGGCGAAGGAAGCTGAGGCTCCTGGGCCCCTCACTCGCCCAGGACCCCCGGGCCCTGCTGTAACCGGACAGCCAAGGGGTCCGGGCTGCCTTATTTCTGCCCCCAACACTGGGAAGGGCCTTATGCCGCGGTCACCAGGGCCACTGTACGCTTTTTCCTAAAAAGCTCCACCAAACCTGGGTTGGTGCCTATGCCTGGGGCTGTCTCTCACTGTCCTGTTTCGAGTAACTGCAGCCTCCAGTCTGAGCCTGCCTCCCGCGTCCCGGTCCCGGTCCCGGTCCCGGTCCCGGTCCCGGTCTCGGTCTCCCACTCCACTGGGCTTTTGGGAACCTCAGTTTCTAGGACCCTCCGGTCTCTATTTCGAGACTCTGGCTTTTCCATTTCAAACTTGGCCCCCTCCCCGCCCCCTCCCGGGCCCGCGGCACCCCGCCCCGCCGGCGGCCCGGAGCACAGTGGCCTGGAGGTCGCCCTCCGGGGCTCGGCGCCCGCGGCGCCCGCGGCCGGACCCAGGCGGGGGCAGGGGCGGGTCGCCGCCGCTCGGTCCGCGGCTGCAGGGCTGGGGCGGGAGCTGGGATCGGAGCCGGGCGCGGCGGGGAGCTCACCTCGAGGCGGGCGGCGGCGGCGGGGCGCGCTCGCGGCGAGGGGGGATGTGCGGGAAGGCGGGCCCGCGTCCCTCCGCGCTCCTACCTGCGGGCCGGGCCGCGCGGGGGCCGAGCGAGCTGCCGGCGGCTCCCGGACCGTGTGGGCGAGTGGGAGCGCGGCCCCAACCCCTCCCCGAGGAAGTGAGCGCCGGGCCCGCCCCGCCCGGACCCCGCCCCCCCCCCGCCCCTGCCCGCCGGTGCGGACCCCGCCTCCGGCCCGCGATCGCCGAGGGGTGGGGTGGGGGGGCAGACCCCGCCCCGCCTCGCGTGTAGCCTGGAAGCGCGCTCCAGCCCCCCTCCGCGGGCCCAGCCTAACCTGGCTCCCCCAACCTTCCCGGGCGGCCAGGACCCCGCCCCGTCTACTCCCCGCAGCTTTTGCAGTCTCTCCCGGCTTGCCCCTTCCCCCTACCCCCCCACCTTCCCCCCCCCACCCCCCAGCTGCAAGCGGGAGGCTGCCGTATTCAACCTCGGGCAAGGGGTACCGGACCCAGCCGACGGAAGTCCATTTGGGGACCAAGAGCCTCATACCTCTTCGTGTCCTTCTCCCCCACACCAGTTTAGCCCCAGGGGTCACACTCCGCCCGGGTTTGTGAAAGGCCTGAATCCAGCCTGGAGGAGAGGGTGGTTTTTGACCCAGGGTCATAGCCCTGTGAGTGACCCAGGTGAAGAGAGGATCCTTCCCCCACCCCCACCCCCACCCCCTTAGGGACCCGGCTTTCAAAGGGCTTTATTCCACAGCTCTGAGCGACGAAAACAGGAGTAGCCACCTCCTCACCTCCACTGCACCCCGGGACTGGAAAGGCCTGCCTAGGTTTCCACAGCGCCAGGGATAGTTTGACCTTTGAAGCCCAGGGGAGACCCTAATCCTTGGCCCCCTGATGTTTAGGCTTCTCGGGGAGGAGTGTGCATGGTCAGGGCCACTCCCCGGGTGGTGGAGGGAACCCCTCCTTCCTCACCTCGACAGTTTCCAACCCTCTGGCTGCCTCTCTGTGCCCTGGAGGGAGGACTGGCGCCTGCCAGGGACACAAGGCCCCACCAGGTCTCTGAGGCCAACCCTCCTGGGAGCCTCAGGCTTGTCACTAGGAATAAATAGCCTCGATCTGCAAGGGTGGGGAAGGGAGGAGGAGGCTCTGCTGCGCTGTTTGCAAAACAAGAGACAACACAACCAATCCTGGAAACCTCCGCACCTAGAGTGGAGATTCGGGGTGCACCGCCGGCTCTTCCATCCCCAAGCCGGGCCCAGAGACCCATTCCCTCCCAGGCTGGGGCTCCTGGGAATCACTTGCCTGCCTTCCTGGGTCCCAAGTCATCCCCGAAGCCAGGTTTCCTTTCAAAATTCACAATGGCTTGTTCATTATTGGTGTTCTCGATGCCTAAACTGTTAGGTGCCACGAGGGCAGGAAATGGGTCCTTCCTGATCATCACCCCATTCCCAGTACCTGCTGCAATGTTTGGGTAATCAATGTTTGATGAATGCATGAAGGACAGACATGCTTCAGTTTGGATCCCCCCCATCCCCCCTTTAGTTTGGCCCATAGGCACCTGTTACCTGGAACCCAGGGAGTGAGCATCCAGACCGTGTGTGGGCCCTTTCTTTGGGGTTTGTCTTGCCATTTGGAGTAGAAGGCAAAACATAGTTTGCTCTGGGGAAGGGGACTGGTGAGCAGCCTTCTGAAAGGAAGAGGTTGTGAGTAAGGACGGTGCTGGATCAAAGGTAGAGTTGGGGTCTCTGGTTCTTACTCATGGCTTGAACATCCTTAAAGAGCCCATCTTTTCGGAGTTTTCACTTTGCACGAGCCCTGTCTGGGCAGTTTATATATATGAATGCACTTGATTTTCCAACAACATTTGAAATGTCTACTTTTGTCCCTGCTTTGAGGATGAGGAAATGGAGGCACAGAGAGAGTAAGTAACCTGCCAAGGGCGACACAGCTAATGGCAGATTGGATTCAAATCCAGTCAGATGTTAAAACTCCTTATGCCAAGAAAAGAGTGTGGGGCTAAAACTATTAATACTTTTTCTCCCACCTTCTAAGTTCTTCTTACTGGGCTAATCATCAAATTAACAGAGAAGATTAACAGGAGAAAATAAAAGTGTTTTTTTTTTTTTCCTTTTTGCGTTTATATTTTTATTTTATTTTTAAAATATACTTTATTGATTTTTTACAGAAAGGAAGGGACAGGGATAGAGAGTTAGAAACATTGATGGGAGAGAAACATCCATCAGCTGCCTCCTGCACACCCTCTACTGGGGATGTGCCTGCAACCAAGGTACATGCCCTTGACCGGAATCGAACGTGGGACCCTTCAGTCCGCAGGCTAACACTCCATCCACTGAGCTAAACCAGTTAGGGCTGTGTTTTTATTTTTTTAAATAATTCTTTATTGTAGAAAGTATTACATAACTCCCCTGTTTTCCCCCATTGACCCCCTCTAGCCCGCCCCCACCCCCCACCCCAGGCCCTCTGCCCCTTCCCCCCTTGTCTGGGCCATGCATATAAGCATACAAGGTTCTTGGTTGATTACTTCCCACCCACCCACCCACCCTCTCCCGTCTTCCCTCAGAGATTCCGCACTCTGTTCCATGCTTCTGGATCCACTCCGTTCATCAGTTCAGTTTGTTACTTAGATTCCACATATGAATGAGGTCATGTGATACTTGTCTTTCTCTGACTGACTTATTTCACTTAGCATGATACTCTCCAGGTCCCTCCGTGCTGTCTCAGAAAATAAAACTTTTTTAAAAAAAGATATATATTTAATTTCAGAGAGGAAGGGAGAGGGAGAGACAGAAACATCAATGATGATGATAGAGAATCATTAATTGGCTGCCTCCTCCACGCCCCCTACTGGGGATTGAGCCTGCAACCCAGGCATGTGCCCTTGACCGGAATTGAACTTGGGACCCTTCAGTCCACAGGCCAATACTCTATCCACTGAGCAAAAATGGTTAGAGTGAAAATAAAAGTTTTTAATACATGGACAAGGGGTATCCACATAGGCATGAAAATCCCAAAGACAGTGAGGCAACAATGTGTATACAAGACCTTTTTGGACACAGGGGAAAAGCATGGGATGGGGGTGGGGTGGGGTGGAATTGGCTTATTTAGATTTCTGAGTCTTTTGTTTCTTAATAAACAGCTTAAATATCCCAAAAAGGCAGCTTCTGGGTGACAAAACGTTGGTTCCGTTCAAGAGCCTAACTGGTAAGCTCTACAGCCTCTGTAGTCATTTAATCTCTTTAAGTCTCCTTATCTGTTAAGAGTGGCTGCCTTCCTGTCTCACAGCATTCTTGTGAGGATTGGATGAGAGCACACAGTAGGTATTCAATATTCAATGTTTCATGATCAAGTGTTAAGGTTCTGCTGCTGGACTTGGAGTCTGGAGGCCAGAAAAAGTTAGGAGATTTCTGACTTGGCCCAACCTGGGGAAGGGAAACTGGTGTAGGGCATGGGGCTGTTTATCGTTGTTGTTCCTGATGCCTAAACTATAAATGCCCCTCTGGTTCCCTTCTCCATTTCCAGCTCCCCAGTGGGCTCACATTTCCCTGCCTGCTCTATTTCCGATGACCAGGAGGACGTGCCCCAGAGGGCTCTAGGGATCAACCACATGGACTCCCTGTTCCTGTTTCTCGTCAGTCTCTCCCCCCACCCCCCTCTTCAGGGAACAGGTGTGTCTGAGCTGGGACTGGAAGCAGAGCCTGAGTGTTGAACAACTAGCCACCCAGCCACTCAGGAGGTCCCCACACACTCGTCCTTATCTTGTGGTGGAAGGGGGCTTCCTCAGGGTCTCACAGCTGTTCTCTCACCTTGGAAGGGCTTTTAAAAGGAGGCCTTGGGTGATGACTGACAGGCCTCTCGTGGTTTCCTCTGGGTGCTGAATCATTCTCTGATGCTTGTAACCACAAGCCCTCCTTCCCCCAGTGAGAAAACTTCTTTCCTTCTTTGGGTGTATTGCTCACTCTTACCCTTTGGGCTGCCTAGGGTTCCTTCCCCCTTTCAGTGTGCAGAGCTGCCTTCTCCTGGGTCTACCCATCTCTCAATGTCTTCTTCAGAGCGAGTGGCAGGAGGGACTGGGGCTGCCACCTGGTCACTCTGCCTGATGGCTGGGCTTCTTAATCAAGTTGAGGCTGGAGCCCTAGCTGGTTTGGCTCAGTGAATAGAGTGTCGGCCTGGGGACCGAAAGGTCCCGGGGTTGATTCCGGTCAAGGACATATGCCTGGGTTGTGGGCTTGATCCCCAGTAGGGGGCGTGCAAGAGGCAGCCAATCAATGATTGTCTCTCATCAATGATGTTTCTCTCTCTCCCTCTCTGAAATCAATAAAAATATATTTAAAAAAAGATGAGGCTGGAGAGGTGGACATCTGTGGGATCATGAAGGGCCTTGTCCTTCAGTGGTTAAATAACAAATGAGATAGAAATTTGTGAATGCATGTAGCCCTAGTTGGGCAAGGCTCAGACTCAGATGCAGAAAAAAACTTTTTACCCTGCAGATCTCAGCTACTTTCAGGTTTTATGCCCACTGGTCTATTGGACTTACGCCTCCAAGGACAGAGGAGAGCATATCCCCAGAGCTCTTCAGCTGGAAGAGTGAGCCCTGTCGTGTGAAATGGGTGCAATTTCAGAACTCACTGAAGGCTAGCTTTACGTGATGGAAAAGAAATCAAATCCCTCACGAGGGCTCTGCTGTGCCCAACACTCTCTGTCCTTACAGTTAGGTTTAGTAATAATAAAAACAATAATAGCTCTAATTGATTGTGAACACAGCATTTTAAAAAAATTCTTTAAAAAACTTTAAAAAATTGATTTCAGAGAAGAGGGGAGAGGGAAAGAGAGATAGAAACATCAATGATGGGAGAGAATCATTGATTGGCTGCCTCCTGCACATCCCCTACTGGGGATGGAGCCCACAACCCGGGCATGTGCCCTTGACCAGAATCAAACCCAAACCCGGGACCCTTCAGTCTGCAGGCCTATGCTCTATCCACTGAGTCAAACTGGGCTGAACACAGCATTTTAAACATATTATTTCATTTAATGCTCACAACCATTCTGTGGGTATAGTAGCATTACCTTACTTTTACAGATGGGGAGACCAAGGTTGAATGACGCTAACTTTGTCTTGATTGGCAGCAGTTAGAATCAGAACACACCTCCATGGTTCATGGACCTAATCATTTACATTGTACTGCCCCTGACACTCATTCTGCCAACCAGCCATTCTCTTGAGGGGATAAGGCTCAGAACTTTAAAACTATTGCTATGGTATGACTCCTCCATTCAACTGTGAGCTCCTTGATGGCCCTATGAGGCACGCAGTGCATGCTAGTATTATTGTTTTATGGATGAGAAAAATGATGCTCATTAAAGTCAAGTGACTTGTCAAAAGTCACACAGCCAATAAGTAGCAGAGTCAGACATGATTTTAGAGTCCGTTGTCTCTCTATTGAGTGCTCTTTTCCAGTACACTGTAAAATTCACACAGCTCCTGGCTTTAAATGCACCGGGTAAATACGGCAAGTGGAGCACAGCCACAGGTCACTGCGCATGCGCAAACTCCAAGGCCCGCTCAGCCGAGGGCAGTGCCAGACACGTGTTCCCAGGTGCCAACGCGGAGCCGAGCGCGAAGGCGAAGTACACGTGGACAAGCTCTGGCGAATAAGAACTGGCCCTTGTCAAGTCAGGACACTAGACTACATTTCCCAGAAGCCGCCTGTGGTGGACGCCTTTGCTAGAGGACGTACTTCCGGAAAAGCTGGCGCCGCATAGGCTGTGGAGAGGAGGTGGGCGGTCCTAAGCCTCCGCGGCTAGGCCCGTTTCCTGTAGGTTCAGTGGACCCGGAGACTGAGGTGGTGCGGCACCAGCGTTGTCTACTGAGCTTTCCCAGGCGTGAGCAGCTATGTCGGCGGCTTTTCGGAAGGCAGCTAAGTCCCGACAGCGGGAACACCGAGAGCGAAGCCAGGTAAGACCTCACCGGATCCACGAGCGCCGGCTCTGGCCCCATGTGCTTCTCTCGCCCCAACCCCCTCTTTGCTTGCGGGCCCGGGTCTGTACTCTGACACTGCGAGTAAATCAATGCAGATGTATGGTGATGACGCCGGCGTGGCTGGGGTGGAGCCTCTTGGCTCTGCGAAGAAGGACCTGTCGTTCTTTTTTGGGGAGAGCACGGGGATAACCAAAACTATCTTGCAAGTTTTAAGTGAGATAACTAAATGGGGTGCTGTGTGTAAAGGGCTTGACCCCTGCGGAACTTGAAGTCGAAGCTCACCCAGCCAGTAAGTGCCCCGGCTGGAACTGGCACCCCCATCCAAAGGTGCTCGGCTCCGCTCGCTGCGTGTAGGGGCGGTGGCCGAAGAGAACCGATGTTATGAGTATAGTGTCATCATCGTGGGCTTTTTGTTTATGTCTCACCCTGTAATGTTGGTGTTTTTCACCCCCATTTTACAGATGAGGAAACTGAGGCTCAGAGAGATGAAGTGACGTGCCCCAGTGACAAACACCAAATTCAGGCCGAATAAACATTTGTAGGACTTCTCTGGAGGGTGTGTGTTGGGGGAGGTTGAGTAGACATTCGCTTAATGTATGCAGAATTAATTTATTCCATTTCTACACCTGCAAGACAAATTGTGGGAATCCCATAATACCGATTCAGAAAGGCTTCATTTTACAGATGAGAAATAGGGAGATGGATGTGCCTAAAGTTGTGTGGCCAGCTGATGGAATGGAACTAAGGCCTTTTTTAAAAAAATATTTTTATTGATTTCAGAGAAGAGAGAGGGAGAGAGAGATAGAAACATCAATGATGAGATAGAATCATTGATTGGCTGCCTCCTGCATGCCCCACACATGGGGATTAAGCCCACAACCTAGGCTTGTGCCCTGACTGGGAATCCAACCATGACCTCCTGGTTCATAGGTCGATGCTCAACCACTGAGCCACGCCGGCCCGGTGAACTAAGGTCTCTTAACCACAGTTCAGTGTTCCTGCTTAATCGCATTTATCAGGCATTTATTGTTTACTTGGTGTGTGCTCGTGGTGTGCTGGGAACAATAGTGTAATTTGCGACCTTGTTTGGACCTGTGTGTGGATCCAGCTAAAAGTAATCATAGCTAGAAGTGCTTACTGTGTGCCTGAGCCAGACAAAGTGCAAAATGCTGTCCTCTCATGATCTCATTTACATAACTCCCAACAGTGGGTGGAAGTGTACTATTGTGTTTTCACATTTGCAGGTGAGGATACTAAGGTTCAGATAGGGTAAGTAATTTGCCCAAAGACATGTATCTATAGTTGGCAAGTGGCAAAGCCAAGAATCAGACCAAGTGTTTTGAATCCAGAGGCTACTAAAAGATGAATAAAGAGGCAATTTTATAAGAGGTGGCACATAAAAAATGCCAAATGAGGAATTTGAGTGGGAAGAGTAGAGATGATGAGAGAAAGCATCATGATGAAACTTGTTGGACTTGAAAGGCAGTGATAGTAGCTGTCACTTTTTTAGCACTGACTGTACGTTAGGTACAGCTCAACATGCTGTACAAGGATTATCTCATATAATCCCACAGCATCCCTATGCGGGGGACGTGGTCCTCATTTTACAAATGAGGCATCTGATGCTTAAAGAGATTGAATGTGTGTCTAGAGCAGGGGTGGGCAAACTTTTTGACTCGAGGGCCACAATGGGTTCTTAAACTGGACCGGAGGGCCGGAACAAAAGCATGGATGGAGTGTTTGTGTGAACTAATATAAATTCAAAGTAAACATCATTACATAAAAGGGTACGGTCTTTTTTTTTTTTTAGTTTTATTCATTTCAAACTGGCTGGATTCGGCCCGTGGGCTGTAGTTTGCCCACGGCTGGTCTAGAGTCATAGTTGTAAGTAGTTGGTTTAGATTAGCAGAGGAGACAGAGGGCTTTCAGGGCAGGTAGTGAATAAGACATGGCCATGTCTGAATAGGAACAGGGGGTCTTCGTGGGAGAGGTGTGGAGAAGGCCCTCTGTAAAGGTTGGCAAACACATTGACAAGAGCACTTCCTATTTGGGTCAAGTTTGGACTTTATCCTATTGATTCTTCATTGAGGTAGTGGGGAGCTATTGAAGATATTCTGTATGGAGGGGGTGGTGTAGCTATGTGAACTATTTCAGATGCAGTGCCAGGATTTTTTCTATAATGCCGATATACATTCAAGTGACATGGAGCTTTCAAGATTTCTGCCTCATGATGTTGCCCATTTGACCCTTGAGTTTTCTTTTTCTATTCTCTGTCAGTCTTCTTTATCTGCTGTAATTAAAATAAAAATTATCAGGAGAGGTTTTGGGTATTATTTTTTTTTTTTTTTTTTAATATATATTTTATTGATTTTTTACAGAGAGGAAGGGAGAGAGACAGAGAGCCAGAAACATCGATGAGAGAGAAACACCGATCAGCCGCCTCCCGCACATCCCCCACCGGGGATGTGCCCGCAACCAAGGCACATGCCCTTGACCGGAATCGAACCCGGGACCCTTCAGTCCGCAGGCCAACGCTCCATCCACTGAGCCAAACCGGTTTCGGCGGGTATTATTTTTAAATATTGAATTCTTTATTGCATCACTTCAGAGATGATAGATGAGAAAGATGACTGTTAAAAATTATTATACAAGTTTAAACAGTGGAGAAGTGTATGCAGTTCCTCAAAAGCTGAGATTAGGGAGCATTTGATGTCTTGCTCCCCTGTATATGTCATCAGTTTGGCTCAAATAAACTCATAAAAATTCTCTAAAAAAAGAAGTTAAGATTGTTCAGAGCAGAAAAGGATGCATTCTAATGGGGAGGGGAAGAGTACAGACTGTGGCCCCAGATAGAATGGATTCTAATTCCAGCTTTGCCACTTACTAGTTCTGTGTTCTTGGCAAATCATTCTCTAAACTTTATTCCCCTTTGGGATATTGGGATAGCCGTTTCTTTACTTTACCTACTTTCCATGATAGTTGTGGGGATTAAATGTGATCATAATTGATGAGCAAAGCAGATTGCTCTGTAACAGAGTAAGTACTTAATAAATGTGGCCTGTTAGGATACTTTATGCAAAAGCATCTAGCTCAGACCCTGATATATATTAAATGCTCAACAAATGGTGGCTTGTGGAAAGATAATAGCAAGATATAATCCTTGTACCTTCTGTGCTGTCCAAGTTCTGTGTCATAGAAAGTATGTTCTGTCATACGTGGTTTTCTTTCATACTTTGTACCAAAGGTATAATAATAACAGTAAACATATGCTGGGCACCTGTTATGTGCCAAGCCAAGTCCAGACACTACCACTCACAGAGGTTTATGGAATCCTTACGATAACCACGAGAAATAGGTACTATTATTTTCATTTTCTAGTTGGGAAACAGCAGCTCAGAGAAGTTAAGTCCAAGGTCACAAATTGGTAAGAGGCAAAGCTTGGATTTGAATCCAATTCTCCAGTCTCTAAATTTAGCTCTCTTACCACAGTTGCCTCTTACTATATTTTCCCTTCGTAGTATTTTATAAACCCTTGGATTAAGTCTGTAGTAATTTTAGTACAACTGGCAACTGCTTGCTTAGTGCCGAGTCATTGTTGCCTTTCTCTGTCCTTAATAGGCCAGGACAACTACTACGGCAGTGCTGATGGCCTCTCTGGCACCTGCACAGCTCCTCTCATCCTCAGGCAGAGACCAGTTGGGGGAGGGGAGGGATAGGGGAGCACATTGGCTCCAAGGACATGGATTGACTGAGCGCCCCAGAGATGCGTGTTCCCATCATGTTGTGAGGAAACGTAACACTTTTTCTTCTTTTGTTTTCTAGCCTGGCTTTCGAAAACATCTGGGCTTGCTGGAGAAAAAGAAAGATTACAAAATTCGTGCAAAGTGAGTTCAGTCTTTTCAGTAGAGATGCTGCCAAGAAAGCTTCCAATCTCTCTGCGCTGCAGTTGAATTGCCTGAGTGTCCAACGGGATAATTTCCTGCCATTGATAAAATGGCCAAAGCTCTGGCAGCCTGTCACATACTTGTCTGTGACCCTAAACTTCTGTCTTTGTTTAGCAGAGCATTATTTATTTAACTGTAGTTGCATTGTGAGTTTTTTTTTTTTTTTTATTGTGTTGCTACAGATCATTTTCTCATAGTGGCTTTGATTTGCCCCTGCCTTGGTGTTTGAGCCAAAAGCTGAGTCTTTTTTCACTCCCTTTTCTTGAAGTGCAAGATAAAATCTAAAATTCCAGTTGCTGAGTCTCTTACATCACCATGTGTGTGGTGTGGAATGAAGAGATGTGAAAGATGGATTCATGGGACTGAGCGTGGGTGATAATGAACTCTGAAAACATTTTACAAAACAATTATCCCCATTCTTCTTCTTCGCCAGCACTTTATTTGCAGAATACTTTATGATGATTTGTTAGTTGAAGTCCTTTTTATACTCCTGGTACAGATGGTGGGCGATGGGCTGCTCTGGGTCTCCGAGTTTTTAAGGCTAATAATAATAACTGAGGGCTGCTACTGGGCAGGCAGTGTTCCAGGGGAGTTACAACTTTTCCACTCACTTATTCCTCCCAACAGCCTTCTGGGATACTACTGTTATCATATCATTTACAGATTAAATGGGGATACTGAGTGGTTAACTAACTTATCCAAGATTACTCAGCCAGAAGTGGTAGAATCAGAGTTTGAACCCAGGGTGTCTGGCTCCAGAATCCATGATTCTGGTTACTTGGCTATAAAGTATTGTGTAGTTTCTGAATCTTATTTGGTCACTTGGTGCCCAAAGCTTGAATCAGAACCCAGCTTTAATTTGTGCGTTGTTTGGTCTCTCCTTGTAATGATACAAATGGCACTAAAACATATGTGAGATAGGACAGTTAATTTCACGTAAGATTTGACCAGGAGAAGACCTGCAGAGAGAGAAGCTCAACATCAGTGACAGTGGAGTGTGAATCCAATGTAGTCATTGCTTTTTTTTTGCTTTGGCTTTTTGAGTTTCATTTTGTGCGAACTTTAGCTCCTTGTAAAGTTTGCTTGTTGTGTTATTGTTGTGTTTTTCTTTCTTGGTATGAACCTTGTTTAACCTGCTTTTTAGTGACTACCGGAAAAAGCAAGAATACCTCAGAGCTCTTCGAAAGAAAGCTCTTGAAAAAAATCCAGATGAATTCTACTATAAAATGACTCGAGTTAAACTCCAGGTGGGTGTCTAATGGATCAGTTAGTGTTTTGAGCTCCAACTCAATAAGGAAATAAGGATGGGGGAGGAGGTGGAGAGAAAGAATCTTGGCCTTTACTTAGCCTCTTTCTACCAACTAGGGCAGTGATGGCGAACCTTTTGAGCTCGGCGTGTCAGCATTTTGAAAAACCCTAACTTAACTTTGGTGCCGTGTCACATATAGAAGTTTTTTGATATTTGCAACCATAGTAAAACAAAGACTTATATTTTTGATATTTATTTTATATATTTAAATGCCATTTAACAAAGAAAAATCAACCAAAAAAACGAGTTCGCGTGTCACCTCTGACACGTGTGTCATAGGTTTGCCATCACTGGCCTGGTTGGTCCAGGTGCTGCGTTGGCCAGTATCCAAAGCAAAACTGCCCCTTCATGAGCAGCAAGCATTTCTGCCCCTGGCTCTGAGCAGTCTTATGCCTGGAGCCATTATAAGAGTGGAAGACTGGATGTGCTAAATTGACCGTGCGCCTTGAGGGCCTAGTGCATGGAATTGCTGTTGCATAAAGCTTTGGGTTGTCTTTTTGTTCCAACCATGAACTACGTCAACAGCTTAGAAATGATTTTAATCTAATAGGGAATGTGTCTTTGGAATTTGGATTTCAGGATGGAGTTCATGTTATCCCGCAGACTAAGGAAGAAGTAACTCCAGAACAGCTGAAACTGATGAGAACTCAGGATGTCAAATATATAGAAATGAAAAGGGTTGCGGAAGCGAAGGTAACAACCGAAAACTCTTTGTTCTGATGTGTTTTCGTTGGTTAAGAAAAATATAAATCCCTCGACCAAAATGATATGTTGATTTCTTCTGGCATTGTATGCTTAATTAATTGTGAAAGTGACTTAGAAGCATGGTAGAGTGGAAAGGGTTTCATGTGGGGAATGAGACAGACTTAGTTTGAATTCTGGCTCTACCACTTACTAGCCCAAGATTATGGACAGATTTACCGCTGTGAAGCTCTTTCCTCATTTCTGTCTCATAGGTTGTTGTAAGGATTAAATGCGTTTTGGATTATGCCAAGCCTGCCATGTGGTTGGAGCTTGATAAATTTTACCAGTCCTCTCCTTTAAAAGAATGAAGCAGTTTCTCTGCTGGTTGGTGATAATGATGTGAAATGGTTTAAACTTTGGCAAATTCATTTCTGATACCCTGTGAGAGCCCCAATGTAAAATGAGACCCTATTCTGTATTCTAGAAAATCGAAAGGCTGAAATCAGAGCTCCACCTGCTGGACTTCCAGGGAAAGCAACAGAATAAGCATGTGTTCTTTTTTGACACTAAAAAGGAAGGTATGGAATGTTTGAAGGTTCCTGGGACGGTCTCGCATATTTTTTCTGTGTTGTTTGGTGTTAGAGACAGTGCTTGAAGGATTGTCTTGACTTTTAGTTGAGCGGTTTGATATTGCAACTCACCTGCGAACTGCCCCGGAATTAGTGGACAGAGTCTTTAATAGACCCACCATCGAGACCTTGCAGAAGGAGAAAGTGAAAGGAGTTACTCATCAGACTCGACTTAAGGTAATTTACTCCATTTTTCTTTGGGTCTGAATTTAGGGGTGGGAGGATCTAGATTCCTTTTTTTTTTGGTCACCAAATTTAAAATAATTATTTGTGGAAAACACATCAAGTTCCCTTAGAAAAGTAGAAGGAGGTTTTGATGATGGGGATGGGAGTGGAGAAGAGTTCCTGGGTTTCTCAGATTGGAAGATGGGTAGCCTAGTGGTCAGGAGCATAGGTGTTGGCCTTTTGACCTTCATTTGAATTCTAGCTCTAACCCTGGGCTTTGTGCGTTTAAGGCTTATAACAGGTGCCAACAGTTTTAAAATACAGAGAAAGGAGAGGGCACTGAAGATTAAGGGGTCTGCTATACCTTTGATATCGAACCTTTAGCAGTGAATACATGTATCAAAAAGTCTTTCATATTATGCATTTGTACCAAAATTTTGTATTGACTCTTCCTTGTGGTGTTTTCCATCACCATAACTGGGTTTGTGCAGAAGACATGCTTTTCTCAAAGCCTTCTGGAGTTGAACTCTCACTTCTGACTGATTCATTAAAAAAAAAAAAAAATGCTGTCAATGTGTTTCAGTCAGACAGCTGTTCTGTTTTGATTTGAATCATTTATTCCGCATCAGCTTTGCTTCCAATGTTTAATTTCACAGCAGTTTCTCTAGCTCAGAGGCAGCTAAACTTGCCTTAGTAATATAAATACCCCTAATTAGTTTGACTATATTCGGTAATCCCATAAATTTGACAGCCTGTGCAATAAAGTGAAAACAAAAGCTGTCTGAAGCCACTGCTGTGAGACTATGCTAGAATCAGGCAATTGTTTAAGGCTGAGGCCCAGCAATATTCCCCTCTATGCAGATAACACTTCCAGCTGAGGAGCCGGCTGACTAGTGTTCTCGTGATAACCCTGTTTGCCAATTAGTTGTATTTTCAATTAGCTGTGTCACTGATGCTTTTCAAGTATTGTGGTAGTCCCTACGGAGATGAGAGTTCCCAATTCCTGTGTAGAAAGAGTTCACTAACATAACTTTTGAGAAATTGGGAAAGTTTGGATCTCGCCATTTTTGTCTAGTAATGTTTCTTTTGATAGTTGTGTTTAAAGGAAAATTATTTTTATTAAGAGACTGCTGTGGGTGGATTGCAAAGGAATGCTCAGTCTGTAAGTTGGAAGGGGTGGGCAGTCCACAAATGGGCTTTAGGAATCTGAACACCCTCTTCCCACTGACATTTTGAGCAAATAGGTATCTACGTGTATGTACATTGAGATACTTTAGCTCTGCCTTTCTTATCCTGACTGCTGTGGCTCAGCTGGTTGAGCGTCATCCTATGCACCAGGAGGTTGCTGGTTCCATCCGCAGTCAGGGCACTTTCCTGGGTTGTGGGCTTGATCCCCACTGGGCGTCGTGCAGGAGGCAGCTGATCAGTGTTTCTTTCTCACATCGGTGTTTCTCTCTCTTCCTTCTCTCTCTCTGAAATCAGTAAAAACATTTAAAAAAATTTTAAGAAAAATAAAAGGTTCTACCTTTCTCAACTGGGTTCCATGAGAGAAGAGCCCTACAAATCTGTACACACATAAGTACATTTATTTCAAGAAACAACCCAAAGCTTTCCTCAGTTTCTTAGAGGTTTACAATGCCCCCAAATGGAAGGAACACTGGTGCTGGAGGCATCATCAGCAGTGGGAATTCTCAGGTCAGCTACCGCTGACAAATGCCTGCTCTCAGCTGCGGTTCTCCGGCACCCGTACACTGCCTGGTGCCCTTCTCTTTCCCCCACTCCCTGTGTGAGGGTTTCCAGTACTGGCTCATTCTGCATCACCTTAGGTAACCGGACACTCACATGAAGGTTGAAGCAGCTGAGGGTAGTAGTGGAAAGATTCCTGAGGACCGTGAGGCTCGGGACAGTCCTGACTCTGCTCCAGGTGAACCACGTGTCCCGGGCCAGTCTCCAAGGCTCTGGAAGTTCAGCTCAAGATGTGATGTTCCTAAAATGGACAGCTTTATAGTATCCTTACTTGTTAGTAACATACAGTGTCATCTATTCTGGTGTAAGAAGGGAGTTGGTAAAACCATTTATGCATTGGGGCTTAAGTGGATTAAGAAACAGTTTCTTACTTATTTTTTGTCCTGTGAAGTGTTTTATTGAACATGTGTGTGTTTCCTCTGCAGCGGATCGCTAAAGAAAGGCAAAAGCAGTATAACTGCCTGACACAGCGGATTGAACGCGAGAGGAAATTGTTCGTCATTGCACAGAAAATTCAAACGCGCAAAGATCTTCTGGTGAGGAGCGAGCCTTAGGCCTTCTTTTTTTTTCCCCTTGTGAAGGTCTTAACTGAGGCTGGATTTCAGCTGTGTGTAAATCAACCCCGGTGAAAATGTCTGCTCCTCAGGGGCAGCGGTTTGAGCCAGTGTCTGCTGCTCTGACAGTGTTGAAATGTGCCTTGATGAAGAAGGTAATAAGAGGCTTATTAGTCAGTGCTCTGGAACAGCAAAGGGTAGGATCGGGTAGCATATGAACTTTATAGCTTATGAGCAGCTATCTTTAACATTTAAACAGGTTAACAAAACAGTGCGTGTCTCTCATTGGTGTTTAAAAATAGGCAACATTGTGTAGATAAATAACAGAGCTGAGGAATATAAGATGCCCCTTTCATATTATGATTCCTCTAAATGTCAAATTCTTCAGCTTTGCAGATCATTGCGTTGTGCCTTTCTCAACTGGGGTTTGTGAGAGAATAAGCCCTACCCCCCAAAAAAATGATTTGAGTACCTTCTCAGTTTTCCCAAGAATCTACGCAGTAGGTGCCCAGCGGGGAAGTTGATTCGTGCCTCCTGGGGTTGCCTTGGGGTGGGGCTCGTCTCTCCTGCACTTTGACAAGGGCAGAATGAAGGGTTTCCTAATAGGTAGTTACTAACTTCCCTGTTTTACAAAAGCCTCTCCTGCTATGTACTGGTAACCTTTTACTTTTTTATAGGATAAAACTCGGAAGGTGAAGGTGAAGAAAGAAACGGTGAACTCCCCTGCTATTTACAAATTTCAGAGTCGCCGGAAACGTTGAAGTGTTATAGATAAGCCTTGTCATTCCAAATGGAAAAGAATTCTATGTCCTTTCCCCCCAGTAACTTCAAATTCCATTCCTATAAATGCGATGGTGTTCCTGTTTGTAATTATAATTTATTGCAGATCTGACATTTGATATAAACAACATCAATGCTCCTTTCCCCTCTTATGGTTTTGGGTTGTGAAATTAGTCTTATTTTTATATACTTACTTTTTTTTAAATTATGAAAGCTTCATATCTCATTACAGCAAGTTTGGGAAATAAATGAGTTCATTTTAATGCCAATACTTATTCTAGAACAATAAATAGCTGTTGCATACTTACAGTGCTGGGAGCTCGGACAGTGGTGGAGGTGAACAGTATGAGCATTCTGGCTTATCGCCTCCATTTTGTAGAGGTATGCGCTAGATATTTTTGTAATTATATTTTAGTTTTTTCACTTAAATAACTTATTTTTCACTTTGCTCTTATCCATTTGAACATCACTAAATTTTAAAACAGCAATGCAATATATGCTCATAGAAAAAATTAAATCTTATTTTTCATGTTTACATAATGTTTTATCCAGAGGATAGACTGATTTTTACTCTTCATTCTGCATTTGTTGGGTGTATGGCTTCATTAGTTAGCCAGGGAGGAGTTTTTTCTTACACTTTAAGCTGTAGATAGAAACCCTTGGAACTAGGAACCCACTGGGCCACCTCTTCTCTATTGAAGCTCAGATCAGCACAGACCCAGCTCTCTGTTCCTGCCCTCTGTGCTCCCGGCCAACTTGTGAGTCCGAGGCTGTAAATGGCTTGGAACAGCCCTTCTTCCTCTTGGAGAATTGGACCCTAGGTGGTGTGTGGTAGCTTCCTTCTCTTCCCAGAGTCCCACCTGTCCCTAACCTGCCCATATAGGGTTGGTGGGCCAAAGCCCTTCGGGCAGAACTGAACACACTCAGAGGAAATGTGGGAAGAGCAGGATTCTGGGAGGCTTGCTTACAACCCGTCCCCTGGAGGGGGAACAGCTATGCATGGATTTTAAGGATTGGAACAAAAAATCGTTAAAAGTTAGGTTCTCGTAACTGCCGGGTTCCTGTACAAAGCCTGACAGGAAAGCTGCATGGTGTCCCCAGTGGGGTTGAGATCTGGGGGCCCTGGACGATAGGAGGAAGGGCCAGGGCAGTAGAAGCTCGCAGCTTTTGCCTTTAGGAAGTGCTTCCCAGTCTTGGGTGAACTCCCTTCTGGTGGGGAGCTAAGTAAATGTTGATAGACGTAAGACACAGAGACGAGTCCTGGCTGGGAAGGAGCTCGCCGCCTAGGTGCTGGACAGAGGCGTGAGCAGACCAATTAGCAGTCTGTTCCTGCCTCTGCTGGTCAGGAAGGTGAAGAGTGGCAGGGCGTTTACTGGACATGCCTCCTGAAGCGCACGCCCACACCAAGGTACATGCACCTCACAGGCTCTCGCGTTAACAGATGGCACAAGGCGCAGACTGCTCAGGCCTCGTGAACAGGTACGTGCACGACTTACCCGCTGGTACACGAACTCACCACTGGGGTTTCACATACGGAGGTTACACTCACACTAGTTCCTACATTTAGCGGTTCTCAACCTGTGGGTCGCGACTCCTTTGGGGGTTGAACGAACCTTTCACAGGGGTCACCTAAGACCATCGGAAAACACGTAATTACATATTGTTTTTGTTATTAATCACTATGCTTTCATTATGTTCAATTTGTAACAATGAAAATACATCCTGCATATCAGATATTTGCATTATGATTCATAACAGTAGCAAAATTACAGTTACGAAGTATCAACGAAAATAATTTTATGGTTGGGGGTCACCACAACATGAGGAACTGTATTAAAGGGTCGCGGCATTAGGAAGGTTGAGAACCACTGCCCTACATGATACCTAGGTACCCAGTGATGCTCGGAGAGGCATGTGCACAGGCCAGGAGGAGCTGGAAGCCATCCTCTTGGAGTAGCATACGTTCCAGGCTGGAAGTATTCAGAATCGTATGGGATAGAGCGAGGTGTCTGGAGTTGCTGTCACACGGAGGGCTGTCTCAGGCTCCAGGATTCTAAAGGAAGAGATTGGCCGTCCCTTGTGACTAACCCAAGACACACCTGGCGTTCTGATGGCTTTGGTGTTCAGTGAGACCTCAGGCTTCTGGCCCATTGCTTGGTTCCTTAGGACCCACCCCTCCAGGCCCGAGGGTGGTTTGGGCTCTTGGCCTGCTGCTCTGGCTGTGTGTGCCAAGGGGAATGTGGGCAGCCTGCAGAGGTGGGGAGCATTTCTGTGAGTCAGAACTTGTGTGGTTCAGGTCTCTTGTGCAACCCTAGTCTCCAACGCAGCAACTACCTGGACCACATGGAACCTCCCTTCTCCCCCAGGCTCCCAGCAGACACTTGGTCCGTTGCCACAGCTGAGGGCCCTTCTGACCAAAGCAGGAGAGTGTCAAGCCCTGGCTTTATTGAGTAAAATCTTTCTGCTGGAGAACGGATTCCTGGTGACAGGGTGGAAAGGGTCCAGTAGGTGGAGCTGCTGCCCCTTCTCAGGTTCGTTCTCAGGGTGCTGGCGCCCAGCCAACTCAGCACACTGCTTCAGGGGGCAGTACCCTGGACTCCATAGGTGCTCGGTGTGAATATGTTTATTGGATTTAATGCCACGAGGAGAGCTCTTATTAAAAAAGGTTTTCTCCCTCCCATCTCCCCCAGCGGGGGGTTAGTGTGGCTCCAAGATGGGGGCTGGGCAGGGGAAAGCTTTCCCCTTCCTTTTCTAACGAGGTCCACGGAGGAAATGTCTTGGACTCCCAGGTTGTCCAGAGGGTGGTTCCCCCAAGACCTGGTAGGGTCTCCGCACGCAGCGTTGCGTGTTTGTTTAGAGCTGGCGGCGGGGCAGAGAGCAATGAGCCGCACGCCCTCCAGCAGGGAAGGCAGCCAGCAGACACAGACGCGCTGCCGACCTGTGGGGGCTGGCCAGGCCAGGGCCTGTTGGGACTTGAAAGAGTGAGGCAAGTGGGTGTATGGTGCTGGCCTCCCTTCCTCAAGCTTTCTCAGGGCGTCAGTTCACAGAGCCTTGTGCCAGGCTGTCGGGGGAGGGCGGGCCAAAGCGTGGGTGGGAGTCCTGGCCCAAAGCCCCAGGTGAGTGGAGGGATTGGGGGCAGACTCGAGATCCCGTCTTGGGTCTTGGGGCTGAGCCGGCAGGTTTCTTGGGCTTGTGCAGCTGCCTCCTGGGGTCAGAGGGTGCACTCCCTCACCAGCCAGGTCACGGGGCCTCCCGGCTGGCAGGGCTCCCACCCAGCAACTTGGGTCTGTCTCAGCAGAAAGTGCCGGCATGGATCAGAGAGAAGTTGTGAAACTCCAGGCAGGCAGAGCTTCCGTCTCAAGCCCACCTCTTAGGAGGCCGAGGGGGCAGCCCCGTCATGGACCTAAATGCTCTGGTCAAAGGAAGGGTGTCGCCCGGCTTCACACTCCCTGTAAGCCATCTGCTCCTTATTCCTGGGTCCATCTCATTCCCTGCATGTCCCTAACCCTGGTTTGTGCCTAGTTCTCCCTGTCCATTCTCTCCTGCTGCACTGGAGGGCTTGAGGAAGGGCAGTGGCCATCTCCCCTCTTGTGGGAGGGAAGCAGACTGCGTGGAGCGAGGGCAGTAGAACGGCCCTGGGCCCCTGCTTTGGGGGTGGCATTAGGGCTGGTCCAGCACAGAGCCAAGGGCCTAGCTGTTTCTAGACAAGAGGAGCAGATCTGGGGACTGTGTTTGGGGTGAAAAAGAGGGTGGGGGGAAGCCTTTCCCTTTCCTCCTGTCGTCTGTCACCTGCCGGCCATGCTCGGATCATAAGTGTTAATGAAATTGTGGTGCCCCGAGGCACCTGAGCAGCACCCCCTGCTCTGAATCAGCCTGACTCATTTACGGCTTTCTCCTAGTTACCCCAAAGGCTCTGAGGTGGCAAATGTGGGGGGTTGGTTTCAGGTTTCATGTTTTCACATTACTGGGTGGAAAAAAAACACCTTTCCAAACCAAAAAAACAGCTTCTACAGCAGAAACAGTCTGTCCCGAGAGCACTGAAAATTTCCCCATCCTATCTCCCCAGCGCTCTGCGGCAGGCCCGGCAGACCCGGCAGACCCGGCAGACCCGTGCTGGAGGGTTAAGAGGAGGGGGTTGGAGCCAGGCTGAGTAGCATGTCGGGGACAGCCCCTTTGGAGGTGGCAGCACTTGCCTTCCTGCTTAAAGGCAGGGCAGCACCTTTGCAGGCCCCCTCGCTCTGCAGCCTGTGGTCTCCAGCGGCCAGCAGTGGATTGCCTGGGCCTAGGACAGTCTGTTCAGGATGGGCAGGGGCCAGGGAAGGAGCCAATTTGATCCCAGGAGGTCGGGGGGCTAGAGCCCCTTAGGGCTCTTTAGGTGGAGTGGTAGGGAGGTGGGAAGATGCAGGGTCCATCTGGCACATGGAGATGGGGGTGCCACCCCCTCCTGTTACTGGCTGGTAGCATTAAAAACCACCTCCACTCCCCACAGGGCAGATGGCCTCCATGGCAGATGGGGACTAGGCCGCCAGTGGCTGAATGAGCTTTCTGGTCTCTGCCTGGCCTCCCTGGTTAATAAGACAGTTCAGAGGGGCAGCGACAGGGCCGTGTCTGTGTGTGTGTGTGTTCTGGCCTTATTGGGCCATTCTGGGGGGAAAGTAAGAAAGGAACCCCAGAGGGAGTCAGTGGATCTTGGGGGCACACCTACGTCTGCTGTGTGGGGGTGGCAGGTGCTCATGGCCCTGACACTGCCCACCTGCCCTGGCTCCTGAAGCTGCCCCAGTCTGTTCTCCAGGGAAGGGGGTAGTCCCCGGGTGGGTGGGAGCTCTGCCCAAGCTGGAGCCAGGTGAGCTGATGCAGACCCCCTGCCAGGTCCCGGAGCTCAGGCCTGGGCAGCAGCTCCTCCCAGAGGAGGCTCCGTTTATTATGCGCTCGGGCTCCCTGGCTGCGCAGGCAGCAGCGGCCTTCATTAGCGGAGGAGCTGGGGTCTGTTTTGGCTGCCTCATCAGCATCAGTGAACTGCGTCCCTGCGAGATTTGATACAATTTAATTAACCTAATTAAAAGCTCTGATTGCAGAGATGATTGGGGTAGCGCCAGCAGCGACTGCATATTTATAATGAGCTGCAAGGTGTGGGACCGCAGCCAAACGCCACGCATCCTAATGAGCGGGAGCCGGGAGCCAGGGAGCGGGAGAGGGAACGTTTATTTTTGGCAACAATGCCCAGTTCCTCCCTGCCAGGGAGTCAGAGACCCAGGGAGCAGACACGGAC